CTATGTGCTACTTTTAGCTTGGCTTTTGATATTTTTTAGCATTTAGCTATCTATGTGCTACTTTTAGCTAGGCTTTTGATACTTTTAGCTGGAACATCTCAGTTTATTCCATGTGTTTCTGCAGCCATTCAACATTCTCACTGCAAATGCACAGAAAATGCAATTTATCCAGTTTTATTTATTTTCTCACCAGAAGTAAAAAAACAAGTCACTATAAATTAAATCGAAGTAAGCAATCATCAAAAAGGAACATAACTTGTTAGACTAGAGTACAGTCCCATAATGTCCTAAAACATAAACAAATGGTCAAGATGCCTAAATTGGCCTAAAATGCTTATTTAAAAACAGTTGGTGTGAATTTAGTTGGTAAAAAACATGTAATTTTGGCTTTTCATTTGAAAAATGTAATCTTTTAACATTTGCATCCGAATAAATTTGAAAGCACGCCTTGTTCATATGGAGCTGGCGACTCGGAAACAGACAAACCCTCATGTGTCAGCCTACTCATGGTTTTCTAGAAAAAGACAAAAAGAACAGACTCAGAGTGTCATCTGGCTCCATGATGCGCAGTTACTCCTGGATCATCATGACTCTGACGAGTGAAGCCAACTTCCACTGTAGTCTGATGACTCCAACCGGGTCCTGTGAATGTGTCGGCACAAAACCTCGCTGCTGATCGAGGATTAGCTTTTAGAAAAGACTGAGCATGATGCTGCACCTTTAGGAGCACACTACCATCTTTTATTTGATGAACGGCAGGCGCTGTTTTTCTGCAGCACTTCAGGGAGTTAGAAATGATTAGACTCGATACAGTGACAGGCAGAGGGAAAATGCTAAAAGTGAGGATGTCTTAAAAATGGATGCTATGAGTTTGTAAGCATTCAGTTTCTGAACTCTTGAAACAGCTGCTTCTCTTGTTTCAGTCCCCAAAGGTTGAACTAGACTCACACTGTTCCTAAAAAATAACCCCAAAAATAAATATTTTACACTTCCTGAGCTGGTCGCCTGACTTGCAGCCGGTTTTCTAGATCAAACATGTGACAGGAGCGCTCTTTCAGACCCTGGTCTCTCAGATTATGGTTCTAATTGTTCCCTCTGCAGGCATCGATAGTCCAGAGGACCTGTGCATCCTCTACTCCAACAGAGCCGCCTGTTACCTGAAGGATGGAAACAGCAACGACTGCATACAGGACTGCAGCAGGTACGTCAACACGGTCATGTGTTTGAATTTCTCTGTCGCTGCATTTAGATCTTCAGAAACTGGTTAAAATCAAACGAGGCAGAAGCCTTTTCTCAATCCAGAATTTCTTCCTTAAGAGAATCTGCTGCATATTTAACCAACAACGCACTCTGACAGCAACAGTGAGGCTGTTTGTCATATTTGTCAGACCACAGTGTTTGAAACGGATGCATTTAGGCTTTAAAAACAAATGCATGTTATTCTTTCAGCAATATTACTCGTTTTTTGCACTTTTGTCTTAATATTACATCATAAAAAGGATTTGCTGTAGGAGCCATGCGTTGTTTTCTTTGTTTGCATGTCTATTTTTGGTATAACGTTGTTTAGTTTGAGTGTCTTTGGACCCTTTCTAATTATACTTATATTATCTTGCATAGTCTGTGCTGCTTTTTGTGGTGTAGAAATATTCTGAATTTTCATTTTTTGCATTAAAAAGATAGTTTAAAACACATCACAAGCTTGTTCTTGAATTGAGGCGGTTTGATCGGCTCCTTGATTTTGATTTTTTTTTGCATCTCTCTGATCCTCTTAGGGCTTTAGAGCTGCAGCCCTTCTCCTTGAAGCCCCTTCTGCGCAGAGCTATGGCCTATGAGTCACTGGAGCGCTACAGGAAGGCCTATGTGGATTACAAAACAGTGCTGCAGATTGACACCGGTGTACAGGCGGCTCATGACAGCGTCCACAGGTTGGCTGAACACGGAAATCTCTGTTTATGTGCTGCAAACTAAATGTGTCACTTAAAAAAAAAAAAATCATGGTTGAGTCCTCAACCCCTGCAGCGTGAGTGCAGTTGGAGGAAAACCTAATTTCTCTTTGCCGTCTTCATTCAGGATCACAAAGATGCTGATTGAGCAGGACGGGCCTGAGTGGAGAGAGAAGCTGCCAGAGATTCCCGTCGTCCCTCTGTCGGCTCAGCAGCTGCACCGGGAGAAACCCATCAGTGTCGAGCTGGCGAAGGCACGAGCCGCCAGGGCTGCGCACGAAGAAGGTGAGCGACATCATTTCCTTGTCCCCCGAGGGCCACGTTTGGTATTTTAAGATGCATATTACTGCTACGTGTTAACCTATAGTTACGCCTCTAAAATAAAAATGGCAACATTTTATTAGAGCTGATCAAAAAACTGGATAAATTCCCAACTATTATGAGTCAAACATGACTCACTGAACTGATGACATTTACAAGCCAAGTAAAAAAAAAAAAACACGGTGTTCTCAGAGAATCAGTGTGTAAATGCTGAGCAATACTCCAGCTGACTGTGTGTGTGTGTGTGTGTGTGTGTGTGCGTGTGTGTGTGTGTGTGTGTGTGCAGTATCAATAATGCAGAGGGAAGCTGATCCTCACAGAGTGTAGTGCTGCTGTAATGGAACAATCCTGCTCAGGTTTCCTTTGCTTCAGACTGCTCCGGCACTCCAGACGGTCCCACATGTAGCCTGAACAAAAAAATATATATTTAAATTAGGGATGCGCGATATTATCAGCATGATATCGGTATAGGCCGATATTAGCGATAAAGTTAAATATCGGACATCTGCCATTCCATCAAAATAACTCACCAATATAAAAGGTGCTGTTTTTTTAAATAAATATTTATGTAGTGTTACATAATTTTCAGCCCCCCTTTTTGACATTTGCATTTGGTAGCAGGCCAAACTGACAAAGACCATGCAGAATAATGTAGTATTTTAATTCCACAGCAGAGAAAGTTATGTAGCCTCTGTAAGTAGGTCTAAGGGAAAAAAATATCTGTATCAGTTATCAGCCAAATAAGTTTTAACATATCGGATATCGGCCAAAATTCCAATATCGTGTATCTCTAATTTTAAATATTTGTGATGTCCCACCTATTGCAACACAGACGAACAAATAAATTGGCTTATTTATCTTAATGACATGAAACTTGTAAACAGGAGTTTAAATGTTACTGGAGTGTTGCACTTTGGTTATTGAGATGCATAAATTTATAGATAGAAATGACTTTAAAGAGCAGATCGTAGGGAACCTGCTGCTGGGGAGTCAGGCAGAGTGTCAGTACTTGTCACCTTACTGAAATCTTTAACATGTGCTCTTAAAGGCAAGTACTTGAGTCCGCAATGTTGTCAATAAACTAAATAAATGACAAAATAAGATACAACATATGATAAAATATTATAGTATGGGATACAACATAATATGACGGGTGAATCCCGTGACCTGAAAAGGAAGAAGCGGGTAAAGGTAATGGATGGATGGATATGTTAAAAAGCAAATTGATGCAATACAATATAATATGATGTAATATGATACTATGTAATGAGATCCAATATGATGCAACACAATTTGATACAATGGATTATGGGACATTACAATAAGATGATGTGATACATCACAATTCAATACCATAAGACACAAAACAATACATTATTACACATTATTACAAATTCACTGCATAGAATGAGCCTGGTTCAAAACATCCCATAAAAAGCTTTCAGTGTGAGTCGTAACGCTTTCTGAAGTTACCTGTAATGCAAGTGCTGAGTCATGTTTTTCCTCTAAAGAAATCCCATCAGCGTAGGGATCAATATTTGAACTGTTTGATAAATGTCAGGATATGTTTTCAGTTCCTCTGCATGCGTACATTTTGACAGATCATTAGAGGTAGTCGCTTCCTCAGCTCATCAGACGGCTAGCTCAGAGAATGGACTCATCTGCTCTGCTCGGCTTTATTTATCAATAAATCCTGAAGCGGTCGGTTAAACAGACGACTTTAAAATCCATTAATTGCAGCTCACTGATGAATGAAATTTAAAAAAAAAAAGCATAATGAGGTTTATCAGCCCTTCATGAAAAGCAGCTGCACGTATTGCATATTGTATTGTAGGGTTTCAGATTGTGCTGCATTGTGTTGCATTTTATCATATTCCACCACATATTATACTGTACCATAATATACTGTATGTATTTTACCATATTGTAATCTACCATATAGTTTTGTATCCTATTATATTGTATGAAACCATGCAGTATTGTATCACATTGTACCATACCAAATACTATTGTTTTGTACAGTACTCTATCAATTTTTATTGTGTTTATGTCTTTGTTGTTTGTTTTTTAAGCTAGAATATTTTGCTAATTAGTTTTTTCTGTTTTCAGCCCGAAGAAAAGAGGCCCACTTTACTTTACTGAAACAGGAAGGCAATAATCTGATCAGAAAAGGCCTCTTCCAGGAAGCTGTGGAGAAATACAACGAATGTCTGAGAATCAAACCCGATGAATGTTCTGTTTACACAAACCGGTATGAACCAAAACAGCCACAAAGCACATCTTAAATTCACTTTGCAACAGTAACACCAAGATGCTGTTTTCAAGTTAGGCTGATTTTTGGAAGTGAAATATAATATATGCTAAAATAAAAGGAGGAAATGTACCAGTCTCCACAACAAACGGCTCTGCCTCAAAAACCTTCAACACAGAACTGAACTGGAAGACATTGGATGTTAAAACGTTTTCACATTTTGACTGAGCATGAACTTTGTTCACATTTTACTTAGGAACCAGTTTATGGGACAAACAGTAGAGGGCACCATATAATTCTTAGGTTCTGTTTCACCACATTTAAACGGGTCAGTACCAAAATCTAATAGTCTCATCTCCTCAACAAGAATGGAACAGGTTTTTTTTTTTCTGATTTTGTGTGAAATTGCTGTTCAAAATAATCCTTTAAAGTTAAACTAATGGATATTCTGATGCTTTTTAAACCCATACATGTTTATTAGTAACTCTGCACATATACAAATCAATAATCTATACATTGACGAGTCCTTTTCTGCTTTGCCTAAAATAACTTCAGGTTTTTTCTTGCACACAGCGGTTCAGAAATAGTTTGAAGGTGTACCCTGCATGGCGGAGGTTTAAAAACGATGTATTAAATTTATTTAATTTCAAACTGCAGTTTCTTTTCCCCCATTAGAGCCATTTGTTTCCTGAAGCTGAACCGTTTTGACGAGGCCAAGCAGGACTGTGACTCCGCTCTGCAGCTGGATCCATCCAACAAGAAAGCCTTCTACAGACGGGCCTTGGCTTTTAAGGGGTTAAAGGTGGACGATACGCCCCGTCAGTTTTTGGAGTGGACTTTTTTGTGTGTCTTTTTGCTGATATCTAGTCTGTCTGTGTGACCAGGATTACCTGTCAGCCAGCAGTGACCTCCAGGAGGTCCTCCAGCTGGACCCCAAGGTCCGAGAGGCTGAGCAGGAGCTTGAGGTGGTGACAGGTTTGCTGAGGCAAAGCCTGATGGACAACTCGGCACACACAACAAGGGTAGGAGCACACTTCATCGGATATACACAACAGCTGGTTTTAATTGAAGTTGCTTCATATGAAGTGAAACTAAACAAAGCTTTTTTGATCAGTTCTTCCAGGCGTGACAAAGCTTTGTGACACACACATGGAGGCCGTTGTGAACAGGTACATGCTGAGGATTAAAATCTTTTGGAGAAGGGTTAACAAATATTCATCTGGAGTCAAATTAAGAAAAAAGAATCTCCAATATTTTCTCAAAACTGTTGCTTCAAAGATATTTCTAACAATCATTAGGTTAAATTTGTGTTAATGGATGTGGAGTTCCTCAAGGCTCTGTGTTGGGACAAAAGTTGTTTATTTTGTATGTGAATGATCTGGTTGATGTGTCAGGACTTTTGAAGTGTGTTTTATTTGCAGATGATGCCACATTTTTTTTATTCAGGTGAAAAATACTGAACAGATGTTGGAGATGATGCAGGCAGAATTCATAAAAATACAAAACTTGGTTCTAACTTAATAAGTTGTCATTAAATTTGGAAAAAAGAAACATGATATTTAGAAATAGAAATAAAATTATTGAAGTCCCATTTAAAATTGTTAATATTGAAATTCATAGAGTTAATGAAATATAATTTTTGGGTGTTGTTATTGATGAGAAGCTGACATGGAAATCTCATGTAAATTATTTAAGACTAAAAATAACAAAATCAATTGCATTACTGTATAACGCAAAATAGTTTTTGAATGACAAAGGTTTGTATATATTGTATAATGTAATGATTATTCCATATTTAATCTATTGTATTGAAGTTTGGGGAAAAGCATGCAAAACAATTGCAAACCCTATTTTTATTTTACAAAAAAGAGCTATAAGAATTATTAGGAGAAAGTGCTATGGTCACCCAACAAATATATTATTTCATCAGTTGAAATTATTAAAATTTTATGATTTGGTTGAATATAGTATTTTACAAGTTATGTATAAAGCTCGTAAAAAATATTACCCCCAAATATTCAATTAAAATTTGTTAAAATAAGAGTCATTACAACCTTAAGGGAATGGAAATGTTTGTAAAACCTCCATTTAGAACGAGTGTGAAGGAGCTGCGTTGTAATTCAGGGAACAGGATTGTGGAATTGCCTTGATATCGCCATAAAAAAGGATAAATTTATATGTTTAAAAAGATGATTAAGTTGAAATTGTTTGGAAAGTACAATGTGAAGAATGTCTGAGGTTTTTTGTTTTCGCTTTGGGGATTGTTCAAGCCTGAGTTGTTGTTTGTTGTTATTTTTATTTTATTTTTTTTAAATAAGGGGAAGATATTATTATTTTTTTTTCTTCTTTCTGCATCCTTTTCATTCAATGTTTTTTTTTCTTCATTTTGATGAATTTGTTTTGTTTTTTTCTTTTAAGTGAATGAATACATAAATAAATAAAAATAAATACATTTTAAAAGCGATGCACACAAAGCCAAAAAAGGCTTCCTAATGACACCAGATTGTCTTCAGGCAGCTCCTTCCTCGGTTTGTAAATTAATAGTAATTCACAGGAACAGTAGAAGTTAAAATGAGGTCCAAAAAAATAAAGAACATCTTTAAAAAATGCTTTTAGGTGGAGAAAGACTAATAAAAATTTCAATTTGACTACAATTTAAGATAATGTTTTACATTATTGCTTACATTAAATACATTTTTACTTTTGGAGAAAATGTTTAAATAAAAAAAAAAAAATCCCTTTTATTTTAAATATAAAGTTCAAGACCAGAAATTAGCAAATTATAATTTGCAAATGACGTGAAACCTCATGTTTGAGAGTCTTTAAAGAAGTTACTAACTGTTGGGCATGGGGGTGGACTGATCATGGTTTAGGCTGGATGTTCAGCTGGTGGCAAAATTTACTTTTCCCCATAAATGATAACAAGGTGGTCTTTACAAGTAGGAGCAGCTGATTAACATCTCAAAAACTCAAATAATACCTCAGCTACAGCCTCAAATCAAAATTGACTTTAAAAAAAAAAAGGTGCCGTGGACGCATCCCCGTCTACCTGGCAGAGGTGCTTGAGTACCTGACCACTGAGATCCTGGAGTTGGTGGGAAATGCGACTCGTGACGACAAGAAAACCAGGATCATCCCCTGACACCTGCACCTGCTGTCCACAATGACGACGAGCTCAACAAGTTGCTGGGAGGGGAGGTCATCGCTCCGGGAGGAGTTCTGCCCAGCATTCAGGCGGTCCTGTTGTACATTTAATTTTCTTTTGAGGTTAAGAAAGTATTTTTGAATTGAAAATTTGCCACATTTGAGTCCAAATTGAAATCTTGACCTTGTAATGTCTGAATTTAAATCTATTTATTTTTCTAAATAAAAGGTTACAAAGTAAATGCAGAGCATCCAAGCCTTTACCTTAAACCCTTTTCTTTTTACTTTGTTACAAACAAAACAAAATAGAATTGCAAAGAAATCTTGCTTAAACACGACAGAAATGGATCACTTTTAGCTTCATGCCTTCTGTAAATCGGTTTAAATTGTATTCCCTGAGCAGAAAGTTCCCTAAAACCTTTCGATGTGTCTGTTCTGCTCTGTGACAGCACTTCCACACCAGTCAGCCGAGTGAAAACAGAAACGCCACACACTCCTGAGACGAGCTCCGCACCATCTGCAGCCTGTGCGAACCACCCCACAGCTGCTCCACCTTACATAACGGGACGCTTTATTTGAAAAGGATAATGTCAAGGTACATGTGACCGTTATAATCATTCTGATTCTGATGTAAGCACTGCTCCATGTGACGAGCTGCCGTCGTGCAAATGGGAGGAAATAATGCGTGCCTTATTGAGATTTCTACATTTAGGATGACCCGCGCCAAGATAAACATGCTATTTTAAGCGACTCTTAACTAAAATGTGTGTTAAAAGGTTAAAGTTTTATTCCAATACAACACATCCGAGCTGATTCTGAGGCATTTCTGCAAACAAAAGCTGCTACTAAATAGAAAAAAAACAAGCGCTGTGTAAGCTTAGAGCAGAAACCCTGGTAGGTTCTGAACTCTGCTGCTTCTCAGCACCTAATTCTACACTTTCGTGGTTTTAAACCAACATTACGCTGCTTCTGCTGACATTTACATTTGATGGTCAATGGGAGGATTGTGGTTCTTCCTGTAAGATCATACATGAACTTATTCCATATGTTCTCTTCATTCTGCTCTGATCTTCATTATTAATACTTATTTTTGTAGCAACCTGTTGAACAAAATCTACAAATTAAAAATAAAAATGTCTCGATAGTGTGGTTTTCACCTTGTCTGCTGGTGGTGTAATCATGGCAAAAGGTGAAGTGTTGAGGAACAACTACAAACTTTAGAACCACTCACTTTTAATACTTTGAGGCATTTTAATGTTTTATTAGTACAATAATAAAAACTGCGATGCATTTATGTAAAATGTACAACTGCAGAGGTGACGGAAACCTTACACACTCGGCTATTCAACTAAACTGCTCAGTGGCCGCACAGCCAGCAGTTACTGTCATTAAGTAAGTTTGTTTTATGGTTTAAAATCTAGTTTTATTTAAAAATGAACCTGAACCGAGTTCACGACCCCGGGCAGCCAGTTGAGTAGCCCTGCTCTAAACTAAAATAATTTGAGATTAACGTAAAAATATGGGATAACGTATATTGGTGTATGCAAACAATTCTATAATTGTAATTTTTAATCTCTGAGCTGGGTCAACATGTTTGGTTTTAGATAAGACTTCTTGAATCATAAAAAAAAAAGGAGTCAACCAAATTTGTAAAAACAAATCGAGTTGAACTAGAAAAAAACAATTAAACCTGGAGCCGGTTCAGATTCGTTCTACCGAAACAGAATAGCTGAATACGTAGAGATTAATATAATAATTGAGAAAATTGGGAAAATTTAGTTTTTAAATTTCATTTGACAAGTCAATTTTTGGTGTTGGATAAATGCAACCGACAAGGCTAAAGTCTGATATCAAACCTCTTCAAAGAGGAGCATGAACATTTGGTCAAATCTTTAAGCTTTATTTGTTCCCATAGTTTTGATTAGTGATGACTTTTAGGTTATTTCTCATTTACCTTAATGTGACACCTGTGGCAGTCAAAGATGGAATGAAGGCCTCATCTTATTATAATCAGCTATACCCAGCGGTGACGCCAGTGATGTCTTTAACACCAGCGTCTCGTAGTTCTCTTTAGAGTAGGGATGTGCAGGACGGTGTTTTAAAGATGAGACTGGACTTACAAGGTGAAAGCACTGCTCATTTACTTTTTTTTAACCGTGCAGCACGCTGACCTTGACAATTAGGCTGCAGCTTAAAAAATAAGTGCTCTTAAAACTTTTGGCCCACAACAGCCTGAGCAGTAGCCTTAAGAGTAGCCATGGTTCACACATTTCCATTCCATTAGTTTGTTTGTGCACAGAATACGTCTTTAGATATATAAAAATAAAGTTGCAATATCTTACTTCAGCCCTTAACCAGAGAGAAAATGTACATGTTAAGCACAATGTGCCACAACTTTCATTTCACTTTTTGTCATCTTCTCTAAATCAGGGGTTCCCAACTCTGGTCCTTGAGGAACGCCATCCTGCATGTTTTAGTTGTTTCTCTGCTCCGACACGCCTGATTTTAATTAACGGGTGATTAACAGGCTTCTGCAAAACATGACAAAGTAATTAAATCACTGAATCAGGTGCGTTTGTGCAGAGAAACAACTAAAACGTGCAGTATGGTGTTCCTCAGGGACTAGAGTTGGGAACCACTGGAGAACGGAAAGCTGAACTTTCAGGCAATGTTTGTTTTGCTACATGGAATGTAAAAGCATGTACTGTATGTAAATAAACTGAATCAAAGTGTAAATAAACTGCACTGGGAATGCTTTAATGTGAGTTTTTATGACGATCCTTTGTGTTTTATTATGGTATCTTTATATTAAACCAAACTGTTACACACATTTTTATAAAAGTGAATGAATACCACTACTTTCTGAAGGGTAATCTTATTAAACGATGTGTGGACGAAGAGACATAACCTGACATTTGGAAAGACAAAGAGTCATGTCGTCAGAAGCAGATACTGAAATCTGATGTAAATCCTTAACAGGTCAAACTCTAGTTTCCTGCTGCAGAAGGTAAACGACACCAAAACACAAACAAACAAGACTTGGATTTAAATTTTATTTTAAAATATGCATTTACATGCACATTCTGAAGCGGATAGTTGGGAAAAGGAGACGTTATCAAACATAATACACCTTTTTTTTTAAATATAAAAACAGAGCTGGCACTGGTTTTTAAATACTAACATAAAGGAAATACATTTTTAACAATCAGGTTATCCTGACCTGGAGGTGCATCAAACTCTTGCTGCTGCAATAAAAATCTGTTTTGCCTCAGAATGCTCTCAACTCAGCTGCTTGACGTCACGCCGCAAAAAGATGCAGCTTTATTGTCACTGCAGTCTGATTCTTGATTCAAACTGCTTTGGATAAATTAAATGTGTAAGATTATTTTCCAAATAAACGTTGGCTCGTCAAGGGAAGGTTTTTTTTAAAAGTCGATGTAAATAAAAGTTTTGGTTTAATCTAATGTTCTAGCGTCTTTGTGGACAATATTTAGATCCGGTCAACTTTTAAATAAAATTAAAGTCAATCTTTGGTAGGATAAACTGAAACGTGGGTGATTATTGTCAAGTTTGTGTTCATTTGTAGCATTTTTCTGACATTTATAAATGTCAACACTTTTGTATTTATAACATGAAGACTCATAATGAATTAAAAAAAGCACTATACACAGAAAGTTTTCCCCAAAAAGGCACTGCAGGTTCAACAAATATAAAATAACTTGCATCTGTCATTTGAGATGATTTAAGAAAAGCCTCGAGTTAAAATAAACCTTAATTTTGAAAATCAAAAAGCTTCATTTGGACAGAAGTAGCAAAAATCAACCATTTTACACCAGAACTGTGCATTCACGTCTGAGTGTGAAGCAGGATGAATGCTTGGATATAAAAAAGAGGTTCTCATTGCACAAAAAGGAAATCACAAAAAGCTGGTGTTTCCTCACATTAGTTACTTTAAAAAGCTTATTTCATTATTGCAAACACACTGTTTGGTAGAATTTCAGATTCTAGTGACCTCTTAATAAAACGAGCCCTGTAGGTTGTGAGACGTGCTACAGTTTCATACGTTCTGTTTTATAGGAAAACACTTTTAAGTCCATCTTTGTGTGAACTAAATTCTGCAGAAAGGAGTTTGCTGCTTGCCTGAAGCCACAATACTTAAATAAAACTGAGATTCATCACTTCTCAGTACAGTTCCTGTTCGATTACACTAAAAAGTTTGGACACAAAACAGGGCTTCAGGTTTTACACCAACTCTCCCGAAACACAGAGAAAAGACATGAATCACAACTTAAACAAAAACTATCATGATATATATATTTTTTTAATCTGACAATGAGAAATTAAACCAACTACTCTATCAATGGTCCCACTGATAAACTCTACAGCTACTTTTAAGAAATAAAAAAGTGAACTGGCGGCACAGTGGTGGACCATAGTCGGGACAAATTCTTTGATTCATACAAAACAAAAAAGGAAAATCAAATATTTGCAGATTATTAAATACGTTTTTCTATTAGCAGCTTTGTTCCAAGTCAGTGTTACTATGTCTGCTCTTTGTTAGCATCAGAAAGAAAAGGTCCGATCTGGGATTATAGAAAATCATTCGGGTGTAGAAAACACTTGACTGCAGCGTCTCGTGGTACTTTCTGCGATCCACCCATCCCTTTGCGGTCATCTCTATTTGCATCAGGCCTGCTGCTCTAAAAACATTTACCAACTGGCTGAAATGTCCTTTTTGTCACAATCAGAGATCCAAGTGATTTTCTTCGACTTAACTGTGCTCACATCCACAAATCTCTTCCCGACTTCCATCTCAACCCTCTGTTATTGTCAAACACCGACATTTACACCACACTACCTCAGTAATGCGTCCGTAACCCTGACCTTCAGCTTCCCAACCTGCACGAGGCGCTGAAATTAGCCGAGCGCTAACGTGGGCGAAGAACTGCTTCAGATGTCCGTCTGTATGCATCGCTTCCTTGTTGGGCTCACAGGCTGTGCAGCGGAGTTTCTGACGACCTCCTTCACCAGCTTCTCTGGCTCCGCGACAGCGCTCTCCTCACTGATGTACAGAAATGCCCCGCTGCTCCTCTCTCTGGGTGAAGCAGGTGGAGATGAAGACAGCAGGCGGTGGCTGTAAGCTGCATGGCTACTCTGAGGCGGTAAATGCTCTAGGCGGTCGTGCTCCACCTCAGGTAAGGGTGCGATGGTGGGATGATGAGTAAGGGGGTCCATCTGGGCAGAGCAAGGCAGATGATTGGGTCGGGAGGTTTCGGGGTCTGAGCAGCTGAGCTCTGATGAGAGGTGGCTACAGTGCGAGTCGGCCACGGAGGGGAGGCTGCCGCTCAGGGAGGGTGAATCGAGCTCAGAAGAGTTGGTGCTGCGCTGCTCCAGAAGCTGAGCATCGACATCCCCTCTGGTTTCATTCAGTTTCCCTTCTTCTTGGCCGCTGCTGCTACTATTTGCTCTTTGTAAAAGCTTACTTTTGCACTTCTTGCCTCCTGTGGGTAAATTGTTCTTAGACAAAGGGGAATAGTGGATGTTGCTCTGACCACAGCAGCAGTTGGAGGGACACGAGCAGAGACACACACCCCCACTGGCTCCTTTGACACCGGAGGTGCTGCTGCAGCTAGCTTCATCGAGGCTGCTGCTGGCGCTGCCGTGTCTCACCTTCTCCTGTTTGGACTCCAAATCTCCTGGTGCCTCCAGGCTGTTGTCTCTGCAAAATGTTGTTAAATGTAACATTAAATCATTTAGAGGGCTCTTTTGCATTATCCAAAGTAAAAAGTTAAATCTGGTCCTCTGGACATTCAAAAAACAAAAGATTTAACTTTTTTAGATTTTTCTACCTGGATTATTGAGCATGCATCAGGATATTATCCAAAGTAGTTTTCAAAACATTTTTCCAGGACTTTACAGTATAAATAAAGTACTTGAATATTGGCTCATGGTAATGTAAAATAGAATTGTATTTTCCAAACTCATTTAAACATTTTTTTTCTTCGACATTACCTCTCATTTTAAGCTTAAAAATAAATCACGGTCCAAAAGGATATCAGTGCTCACTTTGTACATGTGTTAAATCTTAAAATAAAAAGCGTGCATGTACAGTACAGCGAACCTATCCTGGTTTTATAAAACACTTTAATCATGTTTCAAGTTTAATTTGTCAATAGGAGCATTACAGACTGCAGAAGGCATGAGGTGTCAAGTGTACTTTCAAATGCTTTTAAGCACTTTAAATCCAGGCATTTTAAAACATTTCAAGAACCACTAATAATAGTAATACATTTTTATAAATACATACTGTATTCAACATTACTGTTCATGATAATAATCCTGAATTACAGCTGGCGATCTCAAGTCTGAACACTTTTTGCAGCCAACTTGTGTTTTACAAGTAATGCACAAAAATATCCAAGCGGCTTCTATAACAGCAGGTGAAACATGTCTAAGGCACCAGGTACAGCCCGATGGTTTATCTGCTGCACGTAGTCTGAACACTAACCTGTCCAAAGTCACGTACGCGTTGAGGATGGATCCCGCCATGGCTTTTGTGCTGGCGTTGTCGCTGATTGTCCCCAGACTGACGGTGGCTGACTCGCCGCTCAAACTGCAGCGCTCCTTCTGGACGTCCGCCTGCACTTCCATCCTGAAAAACAGTCAAAGACACCAAATGACAATTTTACGTTTGCTGTATACTTTTTAAAAATACGTCATCATCCTTGTTCCTGTACTTGTGTAGCGATAAAATTCACACAAACGCTTCACATATTTTGCGTAAGACTTTTGTTCACAACTTAAATCAACATGTGCAACTGTGCTGAGGCCACTCGGGTGCGTAGGATTACCGGTTGTAGCAGCTTCCAAAGAGGCTGCCGGTGATGCTGGTCCCAGCGAGGGCCGTGGTGCTGGCGTTGTCGCTCATGTTGTCCCGCTGATTGGAGCTGACGCCGCAGCGCTCCATGTGGCTCCCGCTGACGCTGAGACTCAAACCCATCAAACCGCCGACGCTCGCCCCGTCCCCGAGACTCGGATTGTTGAGTCGAGTCTCCGCCACCGAGGTGGTGTCTGGGAGGAAAAGTGGACACAAGGAAAGACTATTTGGTTATGGAACAATTTGATTTGACAAAGCAAGTTAAAAAAGGATAATGAGGTACAAAGTTAGCTACAGTTCTAATGAAACACTGGTACTGTAAGCATGTTCTATTAAAAACTGTGAGGGAAATGTACAAAAAGTTGGTGGCAAAAACCTAAAAACAAATGTCAGTGAAGTGAATGCATCAAAAACATGTACGATAGAAGCCATGAGAAGGAAACATGAAGAGTTTTGTTGTAATTACCAGAACTAAAACTCTTACTGTCATTCACATCTCATGTTCTCAGAAAGGTCAAAGTCTCTGCTGTCATTTGGATCATTAATTATAGCTCTCACTGTTTTCAGAAAACAAAACAAACAATGCCTCTCTCACACTCAACATCTCCAGAGAAACCAAACAGAGCTCAACCTCAAACAAACGCTTCACATCGCCAAACACACCCAAATAATTGTCTGAGTGCGACGTAACCTTGAGCACTCCTGCGTGCCAGAGCACACAAACATGGACATTACGTGCAAGAGTAAACACGCTCAAAAACATCTGGTGCAACTTGCTAAATACAGTAGCTGGTGGTGTTTTCAAAACACTCAAGTTGATCATAGTACGTGTGGAAATCACAAGCATGAAGGAAAATAGATGAGCTTTAATCTTAATGTCACAAATCACTATATGCTGCATTATTCTGTGTATTGCTCGTTATACTAATCATTTTAGTATTTCAATTGGTGTAAATGTTTGGAATAACTTTCCTGCGCAGTTCCTTTGCAATAATAATTAGGATATTCTCACCTGTGGCTGCTGCTCCGCTCCCTACGTTTTCATTTTCATCATCAAACTCGATTCGCACCCCTTTGCCGTTGCCAGCAGACACCCCGCAACCTCCGCTCCGACACAGAGAGATCGGGACGACGCCGTACACGTAAGCAAGCATGATGGGAACACCAATACCTGCAGCATAAGAAAGGCTGAGCTCAATACATTAAACTGATTTTATCACAAAACTTTGTATTTTTATCTAATCTAAGACTAATTACTTACGAGACAGATAATGCTGCAAAGATTAGTTAAAAAAAATGAAAGAGGAAAATGATCTCACCAACAGTGACTGCAGCAACAACAGGAGACACGATCATGGATAGCGTCACGCCGCCAGCTATCACCAAGTTCCTCTTGTGCTTGGAGATGTCCTTGCCTTCGTAACGATTGTGAATCTGATGGGACAAATTGTTAAGCAGAATAAGCTGGAAATGGTGAAACAGCAAAAAAAAAAAAGTGTTCTCTGCTATAAAGCTGGCAAACATACAAACTTTATTTGTCATTTTAGATATTATTTCAATACTTTAGAACATAGAAACTGGGTTTCTTACATTAAAATGATGTATAATAAACCTTCTCGTGGTAGCTGGACTCCATGCAGTTATTTATTTATCGTGTGTGTGTTCAGAGATGTGACTTTAACAAACTAGCCACACCATTTTTAGGTTTGTCTTCTGGTACGTAACGATCCTCAGATGTAGAAAGAAGCACTCACCCTTCTGCCCACATAGACTGGGATGCCGAAGAGCATTGCCGGGACGGCGATGCCAGCAATGAGAGCGATGCCCACAGGTGCTCCCACCAACGTGCCGAGCTGCCAAAGGATCTTCTTCTTTCTGCTCCATGGCTTCTTCCCCCAGAAGGTGCAGCCCGATGGACTGAGGGGGCACAGAGACAGGAAGCCACGCTCACTACCTGATCAGGACTTTATATTTCATTACAATAATTGTAAAGACCGTCATCCAAAGTAACCTACAGCCAGGAACCCAAATAACTTTTTAACAAGGTAATCAGATAAGTTGGGGACAAAAAAAAAAAAAAAAAAGACGCAAGGACAAGTCGATCATCTGAGCTGATCTCTAATCTTCTATTTGTTAGGACAAATTAACCACTGGTTTCCATGACAAAAAACATGGACTATGTCTGCAAATAATCAGGCGTTGGGCACAAATAAACTAATCTGTATCATTTAATTTTAACTTTAATTTTAATCCTGAAAACCCGTCTAAACGCTGAGCGCTCAACCTCTCAAGCATACTTTAAGAAACATTTATCTTTTAAAGAACAAAATGGATTTGATAAATAAAACGCCGACTTCTGGGAAACTGAAAGGAAAAGTGAGACTTTCCAGCTGAGCTCAAGGTTAAAACAACAAATTTAAAGCTCGACTCCATCGTGTTTTCTCACCTTAGGTAGTGCAGGTCGGAGATTTCCTTCATGCAGAGCCAACAGAACTCACAGCCACAGACAGCGCAGGTCATGTGATTACAGCTTCCATCGTTCATCTTGAAGATGTACGCAGAGCAGCGAGGGCACGGTTTGATGTCGTCACCTTGGGTCGACAGATTCAAGCGAAGGAATTAGCCAAAATTTATGTTGAGCATGCTTTATTTGTGGCTTTTAGGCCCGTCACCATAACAAATTTTGCTGGGCAATTAATTGTCTCAGAAATTATTGCGATAAACAATAGTCTTGTTTGAAATTTGACAATAATTAATAGATATTGTCAAATTTAAGAAGAAATGTTGGTTAATTTGTTTTAAATGTAGCACCTTTTTTGGACCACTGGATGGCAGTATAAGACTGTTTAAACCGAAGGATGGATGGTGAGGGAGCCAGCTGTGTGTCTCTAAGAAAAATGGGAGGGAGGCCCCTTGATGTGGCATGGGCTGGCTCTCTTCGGTTCTCAAAATGGCAAACGTTCGGTGTGGTTTGAGCTCTTTAGCATAGCATTGTTCACACAAAGCTTTAAAAAAAAAAACCAAGTAAACAAGTTCTCAGTTTCTTTTTGCAGAGAGAAACAACTTTTTAGATGAAGGCACAGGTTTCAACCGTGAATTTTGGAACTTCGACAAGACTGAGGTTTTTTTCCTCTCCGAGGTCAGCCTGTTAGCTTAACTTGTAGCTTAGCTTCTCAGCTTAGCTGCTTTTAACGATCCAAAAACGCAATTTTAGACGATTAAAATAGATTTTAAAGAGAAGAAAGAGGGAGGGGTCAGGGTTGAGCCTTTTGTCGTCCAGTGTCTTCAGTAGAAAGAGAGTGACGAAGAAACGATAAACCCGATCAATGAAAATGAGGTCGATAATTTTCATTTATCATGCGATTAATTGATTTATTGTTTATCGCGACAGGACTAGTGTCTTTGTATCTATATTTCACAACAGCAATATTTCTACCATTTGGACACGTACAATAATGTGACTCAAATGTTTTTTTTTTTTTTAACAACTCATCACTAAAACAAAGCAATGGTAAGTTTGTTGGTTTTCGACACATGTTTCTGTTTCAGGGTGCGTAAAAAGAACAAGCCTGTATCGATGTGTTCATCTATCAACAAAAAGAAAAAAGCAGGTTATTTAAAAATATTTGGACAGTGGTGGAAAATAGCAACAACTGGAACAAACTAAAACTGTTTAAACTGTGAAGCAGAATCTTATTTTTCAGTGCTGAACCAACGGTGCACACTCCCTCTGCTCAACAGGGTCAGACTGGACCACAAATCTCCCAGAGGAGGGTCCTTGTTAATGCCAATTAACTGATCCACATATTCACTGTCAAGTATTGATGAAATTCTAAACTTTAATTTGTTTATTACTGTGTTTATGAACATTTAACTTGCTGAAATTAATGTTTGGTTTAGATGAGTACATTCCCAGGAATGCCTAAACCAGGGCTCTGGTCTTGCAATAAAAAGAGCCATTTTTGCCACTTTGTTTATTAATTATGATGTCCAGAGCCACAGAACCTGCAAGAACTGTGTACTATCAACTGGTGGCCCATGGGCCACTACAAGTTTATTAACCTTTATTTAACCAGGCAAATCCCATTGAGCTCACAGATCTCTTCTACAAGGGAGGCCTGGGCCTGAAGGCAGACTAACATGCATGTTTTTAATCTGTGGGAGGAAACCAGAGTACCCGGCGAAAACCCACGCAAGCACGAGAAGAACATGCAAACTCCACACAGAAAGACCCCAGGTCCAACCAGGGATTGAACCCAGAACCTTCTTGCTGTGAGGCAACAATGCTAACCACTGAGCCATCGTGCTGAAGTTTGTTGAAGATGGCTTTTCCAGCCAGTAGGGGTGATATTATAAAAAGAAAAATGTCTTACTATTATTAACATTTATTTATAGTTTTACATTTTAATACAAAAGAAAAGATCAGATTCATGTAAAGAAGGACAAAATATATAATTTTTAACAATTTAATAAAAATTAAAACATGAACTCCGCAGGCCGATGAGAGTTCTTTTAATTGTTGAAGAATTAAGTATCCTACTTAAAGCATAAAGTTAAAGACTATAAATTAGGCCAGTTTGTTGGATATCCAATTACACTTTTAAATAAAAAATAAATACTTTCCTTTGACTTTGTTTTTTGTGTTTTATTCTTAGTGTTATCAAAGTTACTTCTCAGCAACTTGCCTTAAAGATATTCCAAAAAATTCTGGTGGTTTTGAAAGAAAGATCATGCTGTGAGACTGGAAGTGGACTTTAATCGTTTAAATAAATTTCTGTTTTCGTTTTGTTCAAAGCCTGAAAGAGCCGCTGCTGAGGTATCAAAGAGCCACACGTGGCTCTAGAGCCGCAGGTTGCAGACCCCTGGCCTAAATGATGTAACCTAAACCTCTAGAGTTTTCCCCTGACACAAAGAGGAGGACTAGAACATGGGGGACAGTGCAGGGGACAAAAAATTCATGTTTAATCAGATTAACCTTTACACATAACCCTTTGGCATGCTTGGAATCACAATAGTGATGTTTAAAAATGTTGTGGGTGTGCTGAGGGTGTAAACACAAAAGAACAAGTCAGGTTAGTTTTTGAGTGCATTAGTAAACAAGCATCAATAATTTACCGGCTGCTCCACTCTCTTGGCTGTAGCTGAGAGACGATGACCTGAAACCCCTGAGTCGGAGGCTCTGGGCCCTTTGCTGTCGTGCCGTGTCACACGTCTGGTTGGGATGCCACAGCTGCTTGCAGTGGTAGCAGAACTCTGTCCCGCAGCCCTCACGCCCACAGGTGATCTTTGGGCAGCTGGCGCAGCCGAACGCTATGACTGCATAACTAGAAGAGGGAAAATATTTTAAAAAACAATCTGTTAATAGAGTATGGGATGCAGTGTTTTAACTGGCAGAGAAGAAAAGTGTATCAGAATAAAGACGGAGCTGATCAACTGAAAATCAGCTTCAACAGCTATTAAGATCTTCAGTCATCTTTAAACTGTGCTTCAACGATACATTAGGTTTAATTAAATCTAGACGACTACATTTAACCACATTATATCTGATCAATCATTACAACGGTTTAATTGAGCTGCTTTTGAAAAGGAAACAGCATAACTGGAGCAATTCAGTCCAGTTTGTCTCCTCAGTCCAGGTAAGACTCTTGTGATGTCGTCTCTGGTTCAGGAGTGGCTCGACTCGAGGAATGAGACATTTGTAGCTCATGTCCAGGAGTCATCAGCTGATTAGGGCGAGACATCATGAGTTTTGAACCTCTTCACAATATTCTAAATTTCTGAGACGCTGAATTTTGGGTTTTTTGTTATTTGTAAGTCATAATCATGAAAATTAGAAGAAATAAAAGCTTGAAGTATTTCACTCCATGTGTAATCTACAAGTTTCACTTTCTGAAATGACTGGATTTTTTTTTTAAACTTTTTCACAAAATTCTAATTTCTTTAGATGCACACGTACCGAGTGAATGGGTTTCTTTTCCGTGCGTGCTTTTAAAATATATATAGTTGTTACTGTTTTCTCAGCCTTGCTCACTAAAAGATTTGCAAGACAATAAATATTAGAACTCGAGCTGATAAATGAGACTTCTACATCTTTCCATGATTCCACATCATGTTTGTCTCAGGAACACTAAGAACAGATGACAAAGGAAAAACAAACACTGACGTACAAACTGGAAAATATGTAGCATCCTCTAATCTACTGAAAACCTGGGATCATCTCACACACTTTTGTTAATGTAATTCTGCAGCGCCAGTTTAATCAGGGCAACACAAACGCATCAGCTGCTGACTGATACACACAGATACTTACATTTAACCCAACAGACCTGTTGTAATAGCAAATGACTATTTGCAAAGAAAAATTTAAAGCAAGCCATGACTCTTCTAAATTAATATTTAGTTAGAGTTCCTGTACGGTTGTCTTTGTAGTGTATTCGTAGTAGCGCTGGACATGAGACGCACAAAAGATTGCAGCGTTGTTGATTTTGTTAAAATGATAAAGTCAACTTGAACCTACTGTTGAACAAGAAATTGCTTAACTTGGCAAGGCACATGCAGCTACAAACAAAAGCAAAGCTGTGTTTGATAATGTTAACCTGCATTTAATAAACACAGCTGTCAAATAATAGATTAAGAAACTTTGTTTGACGTAAGCTAAAACACTTGCACTTATTCAACTTTTTTAAGCGAACCTACCCGCTGAACTTGTAATTTTCAAGATATTGTAACGTATATTAACTATCTGAAATATTTGAATATTCTTATACATTATGAATAAAATAATAAAATATTCTTATATTCAGCTGATTTATTCCTAGACATGAGCTACAACAGCCCAGCAGTGAAGGTTGGATTGCAGCATGTCATTAAAAAATTAATAAATCAATGGAGAGTTTCCAGACAGCCCGAGTGACACATCAGTGAGTAAACTGATGGCAAACCGTGTGAAAGCTTTAAACCAGATGAGAGATTTCCAAATGGACAGTTTGGCATCTTTACTACTCCGTTTTACCACAAACATGTCACTAAAATTTTCATTTTAGTTCCTACTCTGTTTATTTAACCCAAGTCTTATGTTGTATTGAGATGTGAAATAGTTTGATGCACCTGAGAACCAGACAGGAGGTACGTGATTGTGATAACACAGGACAGTCATGCTGTAAAAGTGCTTGTATTTGCTAGCTATTATCTCTCAGATCGGAGGCAATGTGTTCAACATAATGGTACTTCTTACAGCAAAGTTACCTGTTAATAACGGTGTTCCACAAGGTTCAGTCTTAGGACCCACCCTCTTCACAATGTACATAAGTAATGTAAGTCACATCATCCCTGATGCAGCCTTACATTTCTATGCCGACGACACAGTTGTTTATGGTTGAGCTAGAAGTTGCTAAGTCCATTGAGCATGGACTTTGTTGTTAACAGTTGCTAAGGTTTTCCAGCTTTTACAGTCTGCTTTCAACATCATCCAGACTTATTTTTTCTGTTTCAAACTTGTGATAAATGCTGATAAAACCAAAGGGATGTTGTTTTCAATCAGGAAGTTGGTACCAGCGGTTCTTCCTTCTATTTTATCTTTGAATGGTGTTCCTATTGAGTTTGTCAATTCTTATAAATATTTAGGTATCTTGGTCAATTTACATCTCTTTTAAGCCTCATGTCAAAAACTTGGTAAAGAAATTGAAAGTAAAACTGGGTTTATTTTTCAGAAATAGATCCTGTCTAACTCTGAATGCTAGAAAACACCTTGTAGCTGCTACTTTCCTTCCCTCCATTGACTACGATGACATTATTTACATGAATGCTCCTACAAGCACCCTGCAGATGTTGGATGCTGTCTATCATGGTGCACAATTTTATTTTTTATTTATTTTTTTCATTTACCCTTTTTTTTTTTGTTTTTTACTAAGATTCATAACTGGCTGTAACTACCATACCCATCACTGTACCCTGTATTCACTGGTTAACTGGTCATCATTAACTTCACACAGACTCCGTCACTGGTACATTTTAATCTTTAAATCACTTCTTGGTCTGCTGCCTTCATACATCTCCTCCTACATGTCTTTGCGTGAGTGCAGCTACAGCGTGCGCTCTCAGGACATTAGTACATGCAGTGTTCCCTGAGTGCGGACTGAACTAGGTAAACGGACCTTCTCTTACTCTGCTCCTGTTTCCTGGAACACCTTGCAAAAAGATCTGAAGTTGTCTACCTCTCTAAGGGATTTTAAACAACTGCTAAGTTCAAGGCAAAAACAAGCGCATGTTCCTGAATTTAGTATTTTACATCGCTTTATAATGTAGATGCTTTTGGTTTTTTTTTATATAATTTATTCTATTTACTTTTCTTTTTATATGATTGTCCACTGTTGTCATCTGTGTTCTTTGTTTAAAACAGGTCTCTCTTGTAAATGAGTCCTCGAGAGACTAACCTGTATAAATAAAGGTTGAATGAAAAATAAAAATAAAAATACCAGAAGTGGTGAGTTGTTCCACAAACAGCATCTTTCTAAAGACAAACAACCTTTTTAAACTACAATAATAAAGTGTTTATGGGCAATCAGGCCCATGTCAAACTGCAGTATTGTGGACAACACACAGGTTCACACATATTTTTGGTGATGATGCTGCACTCTGGGCTGCAAGAAAGGTCAAGGCTCAGTTTTACTAATAAGCCAAATAAACCCATGAGGCTTGAAAACAGCAATTTGTAAACACAAAGGAGCAGAGACTTTCCAATTCTATTGATCTGTAGCACAATTATCAGCTTGTTCTCAATACTTCAACATGGAGCTGGTCCAAGAAAGTTGTGATTAAAGGATCGTCACCAGGGGAGTTAACTGGACATAAACACAAGCATTGGAAAATCAATTAATTGTCTCATTTTAGCAAAACATATTAGACTTTATTTCTGGTGAGATAATATTTTCCTCAAAGTTTCTCACAATAATCTAAACTTGAAAGCTACAAATATAATTTTTTTTTTAATTTAATTTGTTGTGGATGTCTGCACAGTCAGTACTCTTACTTAAATTAGCATGATGTTTTTTTATTTTATCCATTCATATTTTACCCCAATCACAAGAAAAAAATAGGGTCTGAGATGAAAATATATATTTATCCTACAAAAAATTGAATTTCTACCAAATGTTGATCAAATAAAATTAACATGTGCTACAACAGTAATAACATATATACGTCACTGTAAAACCAGCATACAGACAATCTTTTATGTAGCACATGAGCATTTTAACATTTGGAAAATTTAGCTTCTTAGCTAACCAACAAAGCCAAAGATTATATCAAATGAGAATGAGCTTTAACCAATGAATAGTTTGTCATTTAGCTCAAACTGAGCTATTTGAAAATTGAGAGTAAACTTATGGAGGCAACATTATTCCAATGGGTAATGCTTCGAAGTGTCAATGAAACAAAACCACGAGAAGCAGTGAAGTTCACGTAGCTATAATATACATGTATAAACCAGTGAATCAAAACTCAAAGGCATACAGCAACATTACCGGTTTAACCAGGATCTGACAGACAAAAAAAAGAGACTTTTGAAAGAGTAAATGTGCAGTATGTTTTGTGTGCAGTGAGTCAGTCAACCTGTGCAGCAGGTGAGACCAGGAGACGGAAGAAACTGGGCGAGCACAGCTTTAGTCACAACGTGGCGTCTCGTGAGCAAACTGTTGAGTCCCTACAGGCTCAACGAACAAGACCCTGAACTGACCTCAACTCTGTGCACTCACCACCAAGTGAAGAGGAAAAAATAACTGCAAGAAACAATAGAACTAAAAAAAGGCACTTTTTAAACTCAACACGTGCTGAAAGGTTTTTCAGCCTGATCTAAAAAAAAAATAAAAAATTTCTTTCCTATGTTATGTATAATTATTAAACAGTTCACCTTTTAATCGTATGTTTTATTTTGTGTGGCGATTTTTTACTTTCCTCATATTTGAAGAAACTTATTTTTTACTTAAAAAATTGTAAATCTTTACACTAGTGATCAGACTAAAGAGCAACGAAAACATCAAACATGAAATGTGTTAGATAACGTACAGTTTTGATGCTTTTATTTCCTGTTGAGTCTGAATCATGATTAGTAATAAAATATTTCCCACAGTTTGCAACTATAGAACAAACTCCTTATAACGCTTAAAGTAAAATAGGTTGATTATACAGTAGCTAGGAGTCATTTTTAACTTAGACGTCAGTGAGAAAGCTGTGGTTATCTTTTGGCTTGTGTATTGTTTTTTTAATCTGATGTAAGGAACTAAAAACAAACTTTTTGACCAAAGTTAAAGGAGGGCCGAATCAAGGGATCAACTTCAGATTAGGTAACACAACTGTTTTCTCTAAATATTATATTTTAAATGTCTTCCTACCCTTCAGTTCCATTAACAATTTGTGCCTAAAAGACAAAAAGCTTTTTGTAAAATTCAATTGATCCTAAAATTATTTAAACGATTATATTTTTCAATATCTCAGCTCCTGCTCTTACCCGCAGTCGGGGGCGGGGCACCAGCGGCAGTCGGGTTCGGACACCAGCCACCTCCTCAGCATGAACTCCTCGTACTTCTCCATGAGGGCCCGGTCTCCTAGGATCATCTGGATGTCGTGGGGATTGAAGCGCTCCGCGCACTCGGGACAGCAGATGTTGACTCGGGACTCTGAGATTTCGATGCGCAGGTACTGTCGCAGACAGTCTGCGCAGGAGCGATGGCTACAGGTCATGATGTCTGGGAAGTGCTCGCGTGTGTGGCGCAGCAGGCACAGGGGGCACTCCAGAAGCTCTGACGAAGACCCCGGACCCGATGATGTCGACGCCACATCCGATGGCAACTGGCTGGAAGTTTTCTCATGGCTCATCTCGGACTGTAGGTTTTCAATAGTGACAACGCCGTCCGCTCCAGCTCCAGCTCCAGCTCCAGCTCCAGGCTGCAGAGTCCTCGACTTGCGTTTGGAGTCGCGATCAGGTCTGCATCTCCGTCCAAAGAGTGAGTGGAGCGACAGACGCCGTCTTTTGGGATTCTTTCTAACTGAGGGGAGGCTGACAGAGGAGGCAGCAGAGGGGATGTCTTGCTCTGAGCCTGTGCTGCCATGATGCTGCTGGTGCAGGCTGCTCATCGCACCAGAAGAGGCGCCACTAGTGTCTTAATGAACAGTTACCACATGAAGACAGGGGATGAGGGAGGAGAAAAAGGAAGGAAGAAGAAAACAAGATTCCACAAAGAGAACTGGGCTGCCCTCAACTTGACAAAGCGGCAGAAACCATGTGAAGGAGATCCACAAGTCAGTGCTTGGTGGTCTGTGATTGGCTTAAGTCACAGTGGATGAGGTTCTGTTGAGGCTGAGACGCAGAAGGTTTGATGTAGGACATGAGCCTGCAAGGACAAAGAACACAGAAAAGGATCAGGCATTGTAGCACAGCAGAGTGCATTAACTTTTAATGTTTTGCTGCAAAAACAAAAACTTTGGAAACATATATGTTCTCTCCAGAATGCAGAAAAATAATTAAAATTGAGATGATAAAGACAAAACAACAGTGAGGCTGTGGCCTCTGTTTCTATCAGATGTAGAGATTTCTGAATTTCTTCTGTGTGGAATGGGTACTAGTAAGTGCAAGACAAAATTCTGTTTCTACAATAATTTTAGATGTGGCCACAGCTGTTTTGTGTTTCGAGAGCAGATGAAGTGCTTCCGCTGCTCATGGTTCGAAAAACATCTTGTAGGTAACTTAGCATCCATGACAGCTGTGTTTTATCACAGTATATATTTTTAAGTGTTACACTAAATTAAACAAAAGAAGCGCAAGCTTTTAAACTACTTTACTTACATTGATGCAAAGACAAACATGACAGCAGCTGACAGATTTACATGTTCTGCATACACACTTTTCTGCTTAGCGCTGAAATTTTAAGAGTTTAACTGATCTACAAAGTAGACTAAAATAACTCAAAGTGCCTCTCTGGTTTCTTTCCAGCAAGACAATCTATCCCAAGCGTCAACAGTGGCACTTGATATTATGATGTATAAACGAGCGTACAATCTTGTGAAAGCCTGTAAAGGATAGAGTAAGACACTATTATCACCATAACCCCTTCACTCTACAAGACTGAGCCTGCAGTTTTATGGAGGTGAACTGAAGAGATGGCAAATAAAACATGTTTGAAACAAATAAAATGGTCTTTCAAAAGTCTACATTTTTAATGTTTTGTTGTTGACATTAATGTGAAAAAATTATTCAGAATGTTTGACAATCCTCAAGCCTAAAGCTACAAAAGACAAAACTTGTTTTTGTGACAGCTAGGTGCTCGAAAATTAGGTTTAGGAACTAATTTCAAGACAATCCCTTCAGGAGCCAAACAGTGACTCATTATAAATCCACTGCAGATCCCAACTGAGGCAGCATTTTTGCAAACCTACAAACCCCAACGTGACTGGCTGCAGTTTTCTTAACCGCAGGATGGCGAGTAAGCTGAGGTCAGATGACTGGTGCTCGCTTTAGTTGCAGAACTGTAAAAACATGTTTTTAGCAGCTCCGCCCCAAGCCACATTTTAACGCTGCAATGACTCTATTCATTTCAGCAATGACTTTACTTCCTTTTATGTTTGAGGATGCTGCACGTCAAATATTACAATACACTGGACTGTCCCTGTGCAGCCCTTGAAGGCACATAACGCAAGTTTTCAGCATGGAGCTCTTTGAAACAGATACAGATACAAACATGACCACATTTGGAGATGTTATATTGTTGCCTCATAATCTTCTTAAGCTGCAGAAAAAAAAACGTATCTGTTGAGCAGGAATATTACAGAAAAGGCCTAAAATACACAGAACAAATAAATCACATTTAAAGATCGTTCTTATGTCTAATTATGAATTACAAATGGTCTGGCGTGGCTTATTGGAGATGCATATGACTGATCGACGATCTGAATGTCTGTGCAACATAACTTTACCACAACACAAATGTAAACATGATCAATTTCACGTTTTTTTGGAGAGATATTTTCAACAAAAACAGTCACGCAGCAAATGTTTTCAAACATTTATGTTTAAAAACAAAATCAAATTATAAAATATTTACTTTTTAATGATTACGTTGCAGTTGATTAATGGCTAAAAGTACTACAATTATCAGTTTGTTTTTTTTTAACTTAGCCATTCCAGTGTTAGTTTTCATTAATTATTTCAATCAGATGTGTGATTAAGACTTATCACCTAACATCCTTTTAGATGAGGCATGGTATCCGGTGTTAAAAATAATTCACTTATCAGATCACGATTTTAATGTACTCTAACTAAAACACACTGACTTCACCGTTTGTATTTTATGTACCCATGACAACAAATGTGTTTGCTTTAGTTTGAATACTTCAACATAAAGTCACACAGATTCTTCTTATATTGTCCCATAATTAAATTTAATCCTGCGAGAACGGGAAGTAAGCTCAAGATCGGTGAGGCAAAAAATAAAAACCATGTACATCACGTCTCATCAAGCTACAGGCACAGCAGCCAGCTTGTAAAAAGAAAAGTGTTGGCTTTCTAAATTTAAGATTTATTTGAAGTGCCACCAACAATTAGCAGCCTTTAAGATCACTTTCACCGAAAGGCTTAGCTAGCAACTTAAGTGATGCTTTCATGTTATAATTCAACATCATAACAAAGTGGGATGTCTTCATGTTGGATAAACCAAGCAACTCATGTAAGCAGGAGGAAATTTTAACAAGGCAGAGAAGTAATTTCGACCCACCCACAAGTCAATGTGAAATTACACTCCAGTGGAGTAATTAAACTGGAAAATCCTGCCTATGCAACGCAGAAAGACTGAGGGGGACTTTCCATCTGGTTGAGGTCAGTGCATGAGTGCGTTTTTCAGTTCAGTGGATCAGGGGGAATCATGCAAACAGCTCACACACTGGGATGGTGTCCCAGTTCTTTAGACAAAAAAAAAGGGCCAGCTGAATAGCTTCACTCTGCTGATAGCTTTAAAAAAAGAAATCACAAAATTGACATCAGCTGTTGCTCTACAGTACTGTTATTAGCCAGACGTCTTCTGTTGGAGATGAGTCAAAATGAGGCCACACTAGAATTTTTGTTGAAATGAAACAGGAAAAATAGTAATAATATTGCTCACTTAGAGCAGTAGTGGTAATGGTTTTAGCAAGTTCAGTACTTTGGTACCACAGCGCAATAACGTGCTGGCTCCTGTGCTGAAAAAGGCAAAAATAATCCCCGTCCCTGTAATTTTGAAAAGAGACAATTAGGTGCACAACAAAACTGCAACGGAAAATGTAATGTTCCGGCTTCGTGTGCACGAGAATGTCAAACATTTTCTCCTAAAGACCCATTTTCCCTTTTTTGGACTATTTAAAAAGCCCTCGGGAGAATGTGGTACGCCCAATTAAAAAGCCTTTACTGAATACCAACATTAACATTCTTCCACAGCCACTTTATTTTTACTCACAACTTCTAAGGTAAAAAAGCAGCAAAGCAACCTAAACTCAACAGGAAACATCAAACACTTTCCCACTGAAAACTCACTTCATTTGCTGAAGTATTTAAACACAAAACTAACTTTTGATCAAAGTGGCACCAATGCAGACAGAAAAGGCATTTATGTTTCGTCTTTATATTTATTTCTGGAAAGTTCTCAATTCGTTTGTCCCATGTGCAGTAAATACGGATATACTTCTATCTGTGGGTAATTAAATGTTAGCAAGCAAGAGATGTCACGATGATTTAATATGACATTAACTCTGTGTTTAGCACAGCAGAACTGACTTGTTTTAAATTCAAACATGTGCTGCCACACTTTTCAAAATTAAAACGTTTATTTAGCTCTTCTGTCGTCCAGTCAAATGTCACAAGTTTTTTAGTTAGACCGTTGTCATTTCCTCTAAGATGACTTGAATATTCTTCAGTCTACTTCTCCTATTTTGTGACTAAGCCGAGACACGTCAGGCCTCAGACTTTACCTACTCTCAGTCCAAGTCCTGCGTTCAGGATGCTTTGAGAACGTTCAGTTTTATACGAGTAGTTTTTTAATCTGCTGTTTTGAGGCAATTATAAAATGTGTACAGATGTTTTCTTCGTTGTCGTTTCTAAATGTTTGAATCCAAATTTGGATTAAAAATTACAAAAGTATACTTTAATTCACCAGTTTGTTACGAATACCTTCTCACACGTACAAAGATCTGAATCTAGGACTGGACAAAACAGATGTCGGCTGTATTAGTCACGTACGCTATATTCCGGTGGCATTCCAAGTTGAGGACAGATTTCCTGACGATGACAATGCATTCAGTTTGTATGGCTTCGAGCCAAAGGGACAGCCCATTCATTTGATTAAAATCTACTTTTTGTAGAAATTTGTTCACTTAACTCTGAGAAACCGTCATATCTGTCTAGTACTCCTCAGATGCACATGTACTGTAAGTAAACCAGTAGCTTAGTAAATCTTTAAATAGCCTAATATTTGCCTTGTAAACTAAAACATCTTAAATTCAACAATGAGAACGGCAGGCGTGTCAGGACTGATGTCTTTGACGCTTGTCTTAGCAGTATTTACTAAACAATAAAGACTACAGAAAGCAACACGAGGTACTTTTCCATCTCACACCATGACGACTTTCATTTGTCAAGTCAGTACAATAAATACGCAGCACCAGTCGCCACATACTCTAAAAATGTTTTCTCTTTTACGTCATCAGTGATATTAGATTCATCTTCCTTTAGCAACACGGAGACAACAAATAATAACAATGCTCTCTTGTACTAAAAATACATCAGGGAGATTTAGACAAGGGCAATGAAACAGAGAAGTCACATAAAGGAAAGATGTGTGAATCAAAATGAGCTTGAATGTTCAACACAACTGTCACCAGAACAGTCTCTTGAGCACAAATAGTTTTTTTTATGTTTTAACACTTCTGCTCTGACGCCACTCCTTTATGCGTTTTGTCAGATTGTCAGCCAGTTAGACGTTAAGGGACAACAAGAAAACATGACAGAGTCTGAGCGAGTTGCGTATCAGAGCTGTTCTTGGCAAAACGTCTGGTTTCATTTTGATAAATTCGCTTTAACAAAAGTGCCTGTACGGGGGATTTTTGCAGTAGGAAAATCATGCAGCTGTTACAATAAAATGGCAAATACATTTAGTTAAATGCAGAATTAAAGGTAATACCAGAAGAGAACAGGTACTTCAGCATTTTTCCGTTTGCATCCCTGATCAGTGCATATGAGTCAGTCTTTTCTATCACAAAACAGTTTTGAGATACGGCTACAAAAAAAAAAAAAGCCTCTCTTTAAGCTGCTTCAGGTTGTTCATAA